GTGTGCGTGTGCGTGTGCGTGTGCGTGTGCGTGTGCGTGTGCGTGAGCGTGCGCATGTCCATATCCATCTGCGTGTGCGTTTGCGTGTGCGTGTGCGCGTGCGCGTGCGCGTGGGCGTCTACATTTGCGTGTGCGTGTGCGTGTGCGTGTGCGTGTGCGTGTGCGTGTGCGTGTGCGTGTGCGTGTGCGTGTGCGTGTGCGTGTGCGTGTGCGTGTGCGTGCATGTGCGTGCGTGTGCGTGCCTATGTGTGCACGTGCGTGCATGCGCGTGCGTGTGCACGCGTGTGCGTGCCTGCGTGCGTGCTGGAAGCGGCCACCAGGTCCTCTTACAGACATATTACACCTAGACCCCCGGGAAAAAGCACAAACAAAGCTTCTGGGACCGGAATAACAGCAATTAGATACGACTGGATGCCAGAGGCCTCATCAGTCGCACAGCGAAGTTCTCGCCACGTTTCCTCCTTGATCCAGGTGCGGCGAAGCAAGGCGAGACTGTGTGTTGAGATGTCTTGCGCAGGCTTTTACCCAGTCTGGCCTCGGAACAGCGCGCTTCTTGAAGCATCCTTGATTCCACCTGGCAGACTGGGGATTCTTGGAAGGCAGCATCTGACAAAAATGCGCTTAACTCCACGTGGGCTACAAGCGGCTTTCTCATGTTTTCTCTCGAATCCTGCCGACTCCGACTTGTGATCATCATTCGCATGAGGGGCTCTTTCAGATGCCACACGGTGACCCAGGTTCGAAAGCTGCTGTCGTCGCATGACTCCTTGGACAGTCGGGAGGAGAATCTGAACCATTGTGCCATGCCTTGCAAATGCAGCAGATCCACAGTGCTGAACCAGATCTGAAGTCGCACGTTTGGAGGTACATGCGATAGCCAGACTTCCAAAGAGCTCACCTCAACAAAGGCAAAGCACCGAGTCGTCAAGAGAAAAGCAAAGCGCAAAAGGCTGGAAGCAGCCCATGTCCAATTGTACCCTAGTGGTCCCTCGTGATCTGTTTCTTTTCCTCTTGACCACTTCTTGAAGCGCACCTGCATAGAGGGCATCCCTGACCGTTTGAAGTGCTCCCCAACAGCGGAGACCTTGAACACTTGAACAGACAGGGACAGGGGAAAAGACAGAGAGAGAGAGAGAGGGACAGAGCGAAAGAGGGAGAGAGAGAGAGAGAGCGAAAAAACAATAAAAATGACATACGCAGTCAGGTAGGAGCCGCCGTCTGTTTGATCTTGGAGATGGCAAACTTTCATTCGACGAACGACTTGTCGAGCACTAGAAAGCTTCGAGAAAAAATCTCGACCAGAGTTGAGGTTCAAGGCACCGCGGCGTCGATGACGGGGCCCACATCTGCACAGACGCGTGGGGGTGGCATGGTCGTGGCGGCCAACGCTGGCCTGCCAATGGCTCCTGCAACTCTCACGCCTAACTTAATGACATCCTGCACCATCCTGCACGTAGCCGCTCCACAACGCATGCGATGGCTCGGCAACTCCTGTGATTTGCTCCATGTGCTCGGCCGGAGCAACGCTGAACTGCGAATACACTGGAGCTTGTATCGCAGAACCAGCCTGGCATATGGTGCAAGGATGGTGCAAGGATCACAAGTAGGTCAACGCCACTCTGTGACCATCGATTGCACCGTCTGCCTCAGCGTCTGTGGCGCCAACTGTGCGCAGCCGCTGCTTCGTCTGGCGTTGCTGCAATGCCTGCAAGGGTGCAAATGAAGAACAAATTGATCTGACTCAAGGTTACCATGCCTTCCATCGCAGACGCCCTGCATCTGTCTGAGCAGGCGAAAGCCTTGTAAGGATCAAAGCCGACAGTTTAGTAAGTCATCTACCCAGGGACAGATGCTGGTAAGCGTACAATGTGCATCAACTTAACAAAAGGCAGCAGCTCTTAAGCCCTCTTTCGTTCCCGACGATTTTGAACCGTTTACAATAAGTCAGGCAGCGGCAGTGGCGGCACGACCACTCCGTCGAACGGAGGCGTCACTTTTGCAGCTACCTTCTGGGGGGCGAGACTCAGTGCCAAAGCGACAAAAAGGTCTTCGCGATCTCGTTGGAACCATGACACAGACTTCCAGGGCTTCCTTCCCAAGTTTCAGCACCCAAAACCGCTGCTGCAGAGCGACACACCATGCGGTGCCACTGGAAATAAGCTGACCGTCTCGATGACAAGTCAGGCTCAGCTCAAGCATACCTCACCAGCGTTTCTAGAGTCCTAGAGAACATACGCAAGCCCTGATTGCTTTCATGGAAATCTCCGAGCCGACCCATAGTGCACTAAAAGCAGGCGGCAGGCGACGATCATAGACGCCTGCAAAGCCAAGACACAAGATGCATTATGGCATCACCGCCAACAACTCACCAAACGAAACCAAGGCAAGCCACGAACCGGAGTCCGTGTCTTGTGGCCTTTCAGCGCTGTCTGGATCACAAGGTTGCCTGCGCCGCTGTGGCCTTGCGATGTTGCCAAGCACATCTCAGTCCCATGGAACATGAATATGCGGTGCAGCGATGTCCCCCAGAAAACGGCCGCAGGTCTTTGGGAATCTCTATGAAAGCCGATGCATTCCGACCCTTTTGCTGCTTTTTGGGCCTTCGTGGAGCTGCAGCTCGAAGTGCCAAAGCGCGGCGGACACCGGAGGCCGAAGGAAAGGGCTGCCCCGAAGAGCGTAGGGCCTCGTGTAGGGTCGACTCGACGCCTTTTTGTTGAATCTCCCCTCTCTCCTCAACCCTGATCGAGATATGATCATTCCATGATTCAAGCAGCTCGCGCATGCTCGCACATGCGCTCGCGCCTGACGCTGTTGGACCAGTAACCTCAGCGCGCAATGGCTCCCTGTCACTCAGCTTCAAGCGCTACTGGTAGGGACCAAGTAGGAAGCAAGGGTGCGAAAATCTGCCGCTGAAGGACATGCAAGCTCCACTGCGTTTGTAGCACCTTTGGCAGCTATGCTTGCCAGCGGCCACGGTGCGGCGATGTCCAGCGGAAACGTGCAAGAGAATGTGGTTGGTCTGCTGCCTCACTCACTGTCTCTTCCACAACAGACAGTCCGTCAGTCCGTCAGTCAGTCAGTCACTGGCATGCGAGGATGCACCATGCGCCTGCAGACGGCGGCAAGTCTGTTGGACTGCCGGGTGACGGCTTCGTTCCCCTGGCCATGCTTTGAGGATGCTCTTGCAGACTCTTGCAGCTATCCAGTACAATCGTGCGCTGGAAAGAAGGAAGCTGCAGATGCCTCAGCTCTCCGTTGCGAACCATGCCGGTTGGCCTTACACAGATTCTGCAAAGATTGTGTGCGTGGGAATGTGTACGAAAGGGGACGGGCTGAGCATGCCACCAAATCATGTTTCCGACAACAGCTGCTGCCATCGTCGCAGACCGGGCCGCGCCGGAGCACCTGTTGGGCTGTCTGGATTTCAAGCTTCCAATTTGGCTCAATGTGGCTCATGAAGGTGATCGGCGATGTTTTTCTAAGTTCAAGATGTCAAGATCCGTGATTCCGATGGCTTAGGACGCAAGTAGGCAAGATTTGAAAACACGCAGATCGAGCAAAACTGCTTTGCTGCTCACTCATTGGGCACATGCGCCCTGACAAGGACTGCTGTTGCTTGGTCCACACATGGCCCAACCCCAACAAGGTACAAATCCGGATCCACAACATCCGAGAGATAGATTACAAGTATGGAGGCGGAGACAAGCTCAGGAAGGGCATCTATGAATCTATGACAGCTTTGTCGACTCAGGATGCCTTGCGGCCATGTCAAGATGGCGCCATGGCCGGCCAGATGAGACACCGAACTCGTGGGCAGGTCATGTCACATCTTCTGCGTAGATGACCTAGCTACTACACGGCCTGCACTTGCTTGTTGTGCCTGAGCTATCTTGAGCTGAAACATTGGAGCTGCGGATCAAAAATAGTCAGGCTTTGCATGGAATCGTCTTCCGTCCCTCACCCGCCTGCAAAGCGGCAGCCTGGTCGAGAAGCTCCTTGTCTGGAGCTTGCTTTGTGAATGCTCACGGCCCAGACCGACACTCGCCAGCGAAACCTGCGAAACGCCTCTGCGTCCGTCCTGGGCATCACCCTCGAGAACCGCATCTTCTTCCCCCAGGTGCAACAGGAGGTGTTCAGCCTCCCACGCGGAACAAACTGAAGCAAAAAGAGGCATTCCACGATATGCCAAGACTGGGATGCCTCGTATCTAACCGCAGCCATCTCCTCACGGCAAGCCCGGCTGCAACGGTCCGCTTCAGCGAGAGCCTAACATCCCAAGAAAGAGTCCAGAAAAGGTCACTTGCGCAGGTTTTTACAAGATGTCAGCCTAAGGCTTGAACCGCCTCTTCCTCTTCAACAGCAAGGCACGTATCATGGGCGATGCTCTGCTCAGCATTCATCCTTGCGGCCATAACCTGGACTGCTCCAAATATTCACACGATTCGCGATCAAGTTTTGAATGGCCAACCGGTCCAACCTCCTCCCGCAGAGCCAGGGATCGTAGATGTTGCAGCTTTTCGCAGGCCTCTGCTGCACTAGACTCCCAGGTTCTAGGCCTACTGAAACCTGCTCACGCGAAGACCGACTGCAGCTTTTCGCCGGCCTCTGCAGAAGCATCCAGCTCTTGCACTGCAAGTCGATGCATCTTCTCATCCTGCTCTCTTTGGGGCCAGGCTCCAAGAGCACGACAAGGGGCAAGTGACTGGCAAGCGTCCTGTTCTGCTTCTTCGTTCGCTTGCTGTGCACTGTGCTCTGCTCGCTGCGTCAGCTGACAGAGCTTTTGCAAAGCCTCACACAGATGATTCGTCGTCAAGACATTTGTTGAACCATGTTGAAGCCATGCTTACGTGAGTGTGCCAGGTGAGGTTCGCGCCGCAAAGGTGTTCTCAGTGAGCTCTTTGCGTCGCTCGCTTGCTTCATTGAGGTGTAGCTGCAAACGGTGTTGAAGCATGCTTGCAGCCTGGAACGCAGCCACAGGCATCAAAGGTCAGCCACCACACCAGCCGACCCCGCCTCCTCTTCCATCACTTCGAAGGATAAAACTTCTTCTTCGATGTGCAGCCTGCTCGGAGGACACACTCTCTCGAACATACAGCAACCTCCTTCACTTGCAGACCCCATAACTAGAACGGAACGTTGCGCCATGCGCCATCTCAAGGCTGTCACCTTTCTGCAAGATGCTCGCTCTCAGAACACTCGGCTGATCGAAGCCGATGCATGACTTCCTGCACCAAAAGCAGAGGGATGTAATCGGAATGCAAGCAAAGAGCCACAGGCACGCAGGCTCATGGCAGTGTTTGCACGCAAGCTTCCAATGAGCGCGCGTGTCCATGTGTGGTCAGCAGCCGCAATGCATTTCTCCGGATACCAGGCCGAAGCACAGACATGCCAAGGGCATCTGTTACAAACATGGCATCTGTCTCGAGGTTCGTGAGCATCAATGCAGCACGCATAACTAGTCGTTCGTTTATTCCGTATATCAGCGGCATCGTCTCGGGACGGACAACCACGAGAGATCCGCTGTCTGACTACGTGTTTCAAATTGTCTGTTTATGTGTCGCGGATGTCGTGCACTCTGCGCAAAAAATGCTTGCACCGGTTCGGAATGCGCAGGACAGCAAACAACAGAACAGTCACCTCCCAGGTCACAACACACATTCTCACATGTGCAGCAGGAGACGTGCCAAAAGCAACGACCGCACCCTGTCCAGGCTGAACATGACGCGTGCTACGCGGAAAACTGATGGAAAACGAGAAGCTGGCAGCTAACTACACCATTAGACCAGCGACGAGGCTTTTCATGGTGGACTCCCAGCTGGAAAGTGGCTCTCCTCCTCCTGGCACTTTCCCTTGCCTTGCACAGTCTCCACGGCCTGACATTGACAAGAACAAGTCCGTCTGAATCACATTTCAGAAACATCGACTGCAATCTTTCTGCTACATCTAAAAGGCAGTCCATTGACATAAACCCAAATTTCGCCCTGGCATACTATGTCGCAGGATCACAAGACTACTGCAAGCTGGCCTTCTCACATTCGCGCTGCACCTGCTTCTCCTCTGCACGCATGTTTTTCAGCCTGTCCCGGAGCTCATCCCCAAGCTCCAGGGCCTTTGAGAGGTATTCGAAGCACTTGCAATAGCAAGAGCATTTCGGCTGCTCTGAGTCAAAGACAAGCTCTTCCCCAGCCGCAGCCGCAGCTGCGGCACTTTCCAGCGCCTCCTGAACCTGCGGGACTCAAACCTAGGTTTACTTGCAATTGCTTGCCTCTCCAAACGGCTGAAAGCACCGGCAGCAAACCGCATGGAGCGCCTCAAGATTCTCCACTTCCCACATTGAGCGGATGGCTGCTTCCTCGCTCTCCCATGCGTTTGCCTCACAAACGCTGTCGAATCACTGACATGCATGGTTTCACAATGTTCTTGCCAGCATGCCAAGTGCACCGAGATCCTGGCTGCCACCGCCTCGAAACGCAGCATCGCACCGCTGCACCCGTTACACGCCATCGGCTAGAGCTGGCCCAACGTGAACAGACATCACGCCTCAGCCTTCTCCAGTATCATCGACTTCTGCGTGAGGCCTGGCAGTTACAATACTGACATATGGGCACTGAGCGGGGCTTGAGGACTGTAGCTTTGCCATGGCCTTCAAGCGCTTGCTCGATGAACTCCTCAGCCTGCTACGCATGTCGCATGTAGCTGATAGCTCCGCATCGCTGGGCTGACGCTGCAAGCGCCACTGCCAAGGCCTGCTGCTCCGAGGCTGTGCACCGCTGCCTGAGCATGGAAAGCATGGAAAGCATGGAAGGCATGTGACAAAGAGACACGACAAACGAGTGAACAACCGACTGTTTGCTAACCAAGCACTGTCTGTTAGCATGCCACATTGGACGCAAGCAAGCTGTCTAACTTAAAAGCTTTCTGTTACACCTGCATTTTCGTTTAGGGCTCTTTAAGGCCGTAAGGCGAAAAATGACTCAGGGAAGTCCGTTGCTGTTGCTGAGGTCCTAGCAGCGCACCTTGGCGCAAGGCCTGCCCGTAAAACTTTCACACTAGCGATGCAGTTGCCAAGGCTGTTTGGGCAGCTTCCGACTTGCCTCCACCTCGCCCTCAACGAAGGCCACTGCTGCATCAGCGCGTGCCTTTTCGCCCGGACATGCCATGATAATGGATGATGATGGGGACATGTGACGAACACTTGGGGACCGGCTTTCACGGAGGCTTCCTCTGCTTCCATTTGCCTCAGAGATTCCAGCGGTAAAAGTTGTGTTGCGGAACGATATGTGCTCCATTGTCGGTTGTTGTCATCCCATCCATATCTCGAAATCATCCGAAACACACGCTTCGCAAACATGCTACCTGAAGATGCGGTCTTCGACACTGCTTAAACATGAAATTGGCGGAAGAAAACGGCACGCACTGCTGATGGGCGACAGTACAGCTTTTCCAGGCCCGACGTAAGCAATCAACTGCTAGCACCCCAAAATGCTTCAACTTATTTTCTTCTCCTCTCCACAGGCTTGGGGTTTCCCCCCCCCATCCCCCCGGGTCAGCACTCCCCAAGAAGCGAGTTCGTACGGGCAACACTTTTGGTCCAACTTCTGGTGCAACCACGATCTCACTGGTGCCTAGGTGCCCATACTGTGTCATTAGGACTGAATCTTAACACTCACCCAGCTTGCCGTGGCAGTCTGACTACAGTTGCTGTGCTCTGAACCGGCAACGGGAAGCGTACATTCTCAGGACTGTGTTTGGCTACTCCCCTGACCTCTTGACACCCCTCAGACCGCTCCAAGGGTCCTTCCTGCCCCAAAACCCAAGATTGAATCCTATGCCTCCGCAAAATGAAACAGACAGCCCGCGTGCGCGGCCCTAAACCCGATAAAGCCCTGCATTCAATACTGGCTCAATCGGACGAGAGCCAACATGGCAAAGCACAACTAGAACGCAACACGTCAACATTAAGTCCTGGCAGTTGGCTTTGCGGGCATTGACGCTCGAAGTGGTAATCATGTCAATGTTCGAAGGGGGCAGCGGAAGGCTCAAAACCGTCAAGGCTGCCAAAGTTTTTGCCTTTCCCTCATCCACTGCACAGTTTAACATACACGTTGGGTCGGATGGGTGTGTGGCAACTTTGCAGCTTTAAGGTCAAGCTTGCCAGCAAATCCAAGGTGCAGAACAATGTCATTACAAAAAGACTGAATGGAACATAGACGACTGAACTCGGCAACACCGATCCAACTCATCCCAACTCACCCCCATCGCTCACATGGCTGGCACGTTGTGCTTGGTGTACAAGGCGGGCATTCTGAAGCTTCCAGATTCGAAAGACGACGCTGGACTGTTTGTTCAAGCATCACTCCGGTACAGGTGCCTCCATGGCCTGCTTCTTGAAAGGCAGTGGTTCGCGGTCCTGTTGCCCGCCTTTTGTTCTGAATGTTGCACCGCCTGAGACCTGTACTGCTTGCTGTCCTGAGCACGTCGCGTCAAATGATGCGTTCCACTTGCCCTTAGCATCTAACAGCCCTTCTTGCGGGGAACGACAAGCTCAAAGGAACCGCCCGTTCGAGTAAACGTGGTCATTACGTGCACACATGCACTACTCGGCAACCTGCTCTGTCACGAACAAAACCTCCTTGCGCGATTTCAAGGCAGCTTTCACAGACGAGGAGATGGCTTTACTGCCAATGGGGGGTTACTAGCAGTGGTGCCTGCTAGGTAGTCGGAGGCTTCTTCTTTGCAACTGGTCTTTGAAAGCTGTGGTCCGCGCCCCGCTCGCTCAGCAGCGCCCTGTCGCAGCAGCTGGCTTTCCAGAAGGCCCTGCGAGGCCTCTCAGGAAGGACGTCAAACACAGTGTACCACGTTGATCTGGCAGCATACTCTGAAGAGGCTGTGTCTGAATAGTTCGAGTCTGAGGATGTCTGAGGTGAAGACAGCTTGCTGAACTGCGAGCTCCTCCGCACCCTTGGCCTCTGATCCGGCTAATGCTGCCACAACCTCGAGCCGGATGGGAACCCCCCCTCGCCACTCTCGCATCGCCCGAGCCCTGCAGAACCGCCTCTCTTCGGTCAGCCGCCTCGTGAGCCTCAAAGCCGTCGTATCTCAACAACTTTTGCATCATGCCACCACAGGGCGAAAAAGGGCCCAGGCCTGGCACGCCTCGACCATGAGCTGACGGGACACGTTGAGGCGCGCCTCTTAGGCTCCAAGCTAAGTTTCATCATGCGGTGCTTGAGCAGCAAAGAGCAGCCACTACACTGCGCTGGCATCTGCCGGCCAACCTCAAGAGCTTCTCCGCGGAGTCCGTGCAGCCTGGGCAGGTGCTGATCACGCTGGATGCGCTTTGGTTTGGATGCATAAGGAGAAGGAGAGGAGAGGGAGAGAGGGAGAGGGAGAGGGAGAGGGAAAGGGAGAAGGAGAGGGGGAGGAGAGAGGAGAAAGCGATAGAGAGAGAGAGAGAGAAGGGAGGAAGAGAGGAAAGACAGTCAGTCAGGGAGGGCACGTGCTTCTCGCCAAAAACTCAATGTGTCAAATTGTCGGAGATCTTAGCTTGTCACGCGCACATGCTTGTCAAACTCCTTTCCTTCTCTGCAGCAGCAAGAAGTTCCTGCATCGCGCACGATGATGACACGCCGCCACACTTCTTCCAGCTTGTTTCGCTCCGACGTTTCGGGCTTTTCCACTACCTAACTCAACACAATGCTTGCCTCTGCCGCTTTGGAGCGCATCAACAGAGCCGCCTGACAGGTACATGATGATGGTGGAACTACCAGCTACGGGAGCATTCTGCAGACAGTAAGCTGCCGACATCACACTCTTCAAACTCCCTCGCAACTCGACCTGACAGCTCGCAGGTCTCAGAGTCTAGGATCTCGGAGTCTTAGCATCTGCAAAAAGGCGAACAGCCACATACTCGAAGCTGAGCTTCAATCGCTCTGTTTGAGCATGCTTGCTTCGCAGCTCGGCCAGAGACTGGTCCTCAGTCACGATCGGAGCTTTAGATCCTGGCTCCTGCCATGCAACCTTTCCTTGCAGCCCAAGCACAGAAGCGGTCTCGGCCTGAACTACGTCACGGTCACCAGTCGTTGTGGTACCGATATGGCAAGGCTGCTCCACCCCCTGAGCTCCCAGCATCCTGCATGTGTCTGCGCAGCTGAGTTTCAGCTTCCAGCAGGTCCCTGACCTGGAGGCCAATTCATTCCATATCACTTCACGCAGCTTCACTTTTGCTTGCCTATCTGGAAGACCGTTTGAGTGTGTCAGGAGATGGAATAAAAACCGGCTACTGTATATCTAAAAAAAATCGAAGCCTGCCAGTTTACCCCTTTACACGAAAGGAACAGATTCAGAATTCTGCATTTATTCATTTGTGTGTCTGATCAGTGCATTTGACCCTTTAAAGAAGCTGGCGGGAGACCTCTTCGCGGCGCTGCTTCTCTGTTTGGGACAATTGCTGCAAAGCCTGGCTCGGAATGCTACGGCAAATTTGGAAATTTGTAAGCATGCGATGATATGCTTTGATATGCACGATATGCACAGTTTGCTGCACATGATGCCGCGAAAGTGGTCACCTCGTCCTTCAGATCTGCAGCTCTTGCAAGTGAAGACTTGGCCGTCGCCTCTGCCGCGTGGAGAAGGAATAGTAGGCATGGCATGAACACGCATGGTTTCAATCAACATCGCTCAAGTGTTCGCAGGGCGAAACCAAGTTTTCCGCACCACTAGTGGAAAGCAAAGGTCTTCTCCTAATCACAGTGCATGGACGCTGCCATGCACATGCTCATCTCACCAGTTGATGGCATGGCTTAGCAAAGCCACGCTGCCATGCTGGTGCCTCCGACGAGATGCGAGTATGCCGACCGCAATAGTGGCGTTTCCCATGAAAAAGACTGGTGTTGCATGATGTCATACTGATGTTGCTGCGTGCCACCAAGTGACAGGTGTGTCAGCTTCAGATTGACACAGTCCAGGTGCTGCGCCCCTGGCAGTGGCAGGCACATGCACGAAACAACAATCCTTGGAGTTTTCAGACCTGTTCAGATTTCTGGAGAGAGTGCTGCTACCTTGTGGCCGGGCTTCTTGCATGAAGCTCCATGTGCATGTCTGCATTTTCAATGCACCCAGCCTTCGAGACCTTGACGTTCTCGAGCCCTTTCTTGGCCTCTGCATGATTCGTGCAGCTCGGGCCAGCTGAAGTAGCATGCCCTCGATCTAGCTGCGTATTGCCAACCATGCCACCTTGAACTCTTCAACCGCAGCATCGGCATCATCTTTTTTGACCTGCCCAGACGGGACGTTTACCCTGCCAGAGCGAATCAACCGGTTCATGCCTTCGGGCTGATGGACGTGGCAGTGTTGTGCCACAGGTAGAAGAGGCCGCCCAGGAACACCGCGTCTTGAGGCACAAAGTAGATGAGCCTCGGGTGCAAGAAATGGTGGCGAAGCTAGATGAGCCTCCTGTCAGATCGGCACTGTAAGAACGGCTAGATTTGCTGAACACTAAACCGCCCGCAAGTTCTTCTGGGTAGAGGAAGCGCTGAAGAAGCCTAGCGACGCCGCGGAGATGCACTGCAGGACCAAACCTCGTCGGTACACCACCACACAGTTGCCCCCAGGTCGAAATCTTGAGAAAGCCCTTCCCCTACAGACGCGAGTTTAAAGCTTCACCCGTCAACAAACTGTGCCTACACTCCTTTGCGAAGATGCTATGCACATGTTTTTTCAACGCGAAAGCTGCAGTGTAGCAGCCGTCGCTATGCACATGTATCCCTCATAATATTTGTACTGTCTTGTGGGTTGCGGAAGATGAAAGCAAACCCGAATGAATGTGCCACCTTCTGCGCCTTTTCTCTGACTGGCTGCCGTGCTTTGGCTACGTTGATCACACTGACAAATGACATGGCACTCCTGACTCGTAACTGTTTCGACACCTTCAGTACAAAGTCCTAAGGTGCCCGAATGGTACAGAAACTGTCAGACCTTGCTAAGCCCATGAGCTGCGAACCCCGTGCAACCTTGCCAAATGCGGGCAAACCACCATCCCCGCGGATGGACAGAGGACGCGGAGACGTGACCTGTCCATGTGGACGCTTGCGGCAACTCTCAGCCTCTTGAAGGTCTTGATTCTGCAAGAATTCTGCAAAGGCCTGCACAGCGAAGTTTCGTGCGCCGGTCTTGAATGGTGCCATGGAGGCTCCAATCCTCTTGGCAACCTCCCGTCTGAAGAGCATTGCAGTGCCATGCACAGCCGCAACAGATCGCAACATGTTCCATGTGTGGCCCCGGTCGGCCCAAAAACACATAAAGGATATCAAAGACTACGACAGGCCATGACAGAAAGAAGTGCACAGTTTTGCACAGCTTTGAGTGCAGCCAAGACTCAGCGAAGCGGCCGAGCAGCATGATGGCAACGGGGGCACTCAGGGTCACTGCAGGCTAGGCTTCAAAAAGGATGCTCGTGCCAGGGCAACGGAAACGGAAGACGTCTGGAGCCACATCATGCCGTATCATGCTCCGCTCGATGCTTTGCTCATGCTTGATGCCCTGAACACAAGACAGCGTAACCCAACTCGGCCTTCATCTCGGAAAGCTGAGACGCCAAAGCATGTTCGGTGCCTTGTCACGAACTTCAGATAACATTATGCAGCACGAACACAAAAGAAAATAGGCAGTGTTGAGCATGTTGAGACATGGGCAACACGCAGTCTCGATGCGGGCTTCTGCTGTCAGCCTGAGGTGCTCCTCTCTCATGATTACCTCCAGGAAGCACAAGGAGTGGGCCGGAAGGGAGGCAGGGCAGGACATACATTGGACATACATTTAGGAGATTCACAGAGGTGATGAAAGCAAGCACGTTTAGATGCAGGAGATGATCTCAGCGCCTCCTTGAGGTCCATGATGGCCCAGCCTGCCGCCTCTCGAGACTTCTACACATGGCGCTCGAAATGCACATTCTGCTCATGGTCGCCTCGCCCTCCCAGTCTGGGTTCTTCCATCCAGCAGAGATCCTCACACACCCGGTCTATCACATGGGCAAATATCAACGTAATGCGTGCTCATGCACTACACTTCTCGCCATTTCTGCGACAAGAGCAGCATCATCGACTCTGCAAATACGAGGCGACACATGCGACATGCTGCACCTACAGTACTGCACGCGCGAAAAAAACCACATCTTGGACGTGGCGTACATTTACGGGCGCAGGAACGGAAAATCATTGCTCGGTCACTGTCAGCAGTTTGTGCTTTCAACAGGTTACGACGGCCGAGATCTGCATTATCGTCGGCGTATGACGCGTGAAACCGTGAGCGCTGAATGCGCCGATCCTATTCAACCTATCTATTCCGCTGCACTTGCACCCTGGGCACTTTGACTGCGAGGACTGGCAGTGGAGCTCTGAGGTTCAGAAGACACGTCAGACGTGGATAGAGACAAGCTCCGCAACGTTATTCGCAAGCTGAGCTCCAGCGTTTCAGGCCTTGTAACTCTCCAGCTGCCCTCTCTGTGTGCTGCTTCTGTGCTCTTTCCAATCGCCAAGGGCGGGGCAATAGGCTGGCACCTTTGGCATTACACGCAGGCTTTGCAGAAAAAAGGCCCCATGCGCAGCATGAGTTTAATGCAGACAGCCTTCTTTTCCGTCCGGCTCAAGGACAAGCGCTTTGTCCAGTTGCCTTGAAGCCAGAGACACAGCGCCGAAGCCAGCTGGAAGTAGACGAAATTCCGAGTGCCCTGACCACTTGCCGTTGTCCACCAAATCCTGTCAAGAACTTCAGCCCACCAAACTGAAACAGCCTCCGCAGGTGTATGCAATGTCCTTGAGGCAGATGGGCTTTTTCAGCAGCGCCAAATTCTTAATGTGCGGGCCTTGCGACGCACACAGAACCCTGAAAACGGATACAACTCAGTAGGCATAAGCGTCTACGAAGCATCTGTGGACCCAGCGCCGGATTCCAAGCCAAATTTCCAACTGTGCCTGACCGAGGCCAATGTCATAGGAACAGGCTTGGCGGCTTCATTGCTACTCATATCGTATCCCTAAGTGCCACACGGAGTCCAGATCCCTTATAGGGAAGGAGAAGGGTTGGTGCCATCGCCTCACTCGCCGCACAAGATATCACTGCGGTGGTACCCTCTCACCCCGAGAGACGGACGTTGTGAAAGAAGGCCGTGCTTGAACTACCGAAGAAACCTGCCCAACCACCAAAACCATTCAGAATGCACAAGTTTTGCTTGAGACTTTAGACCGTCTCTGGTGATCCTGCTGACCGTCACTGCCTGCTCTTTGCTGAGTCCTGAGATCTTCATGATTTCCTCGACGGACTTGCCCTGCTTGTGGAAAATTGTCACACCAAACAGGCTTCCAATCTGGTAATCGCATAGGACTGCTTTGGCCTGGGAGTTTTGAAGGTGTTCCACAAGTCTCTGGGCTGACGCGGTCAGTGCAGAGCCGTAGGTTGTCGCCTTCACTCCGATCCATCCCTCTGTTCCAATCGCAACTCATACCATATCTAACATAGTGGGACAACAGCGGCGGGCCTTATATGTGGCACCTCTGCTTTTGCGGGTGTTCCCCTCCAGCTTCAAGGTAATCGTCGCCCCTTGAGCCTGCCACAACCGGATTGGTGCCGAAGTCCCCCCGACATACGTCACACACGTCACGCGGAGTCTTTGACATGTGTCTGACAGCATCGAGAGCCTGCTTCTGCTGCAAGCCGCGCAAGCTGCGCAGATCGATGAAAACAAACGCTTCGGCATCCGCCTCTGTCTCCGCTGGATGCGGAAAGGGTCGGAAGGTGTGGCACAAACTGTGGCAAGAAACAAAACGCTGCACCAGCAATTCGAATTCACAAATCCCGAATCGAACAGAACCACGAAACACTGCCTGAATTGCTCTGCGTGCTATGTGAGCAGTTCACTACGAACTGAGGAGCAGGCCCCTCCAATTTGCTGTGGAATATTCGATCGATGCATCCTTTCGGATACCGGTATGCCGTGGAGATGGCATGGTATGGCTGCATGGCCTCAGCTCGAAGAACCGAGCCTGGATGTAGACCTGGCAAATGCGCCAAAGCGATGTCTGACACGTGTTAAGCGCCCGTGTGGTGGCATAAACACGTCCCTCCAAACGGGCCTCCCCATACGAGTTGTCTTGGGAAGCCGTCCCCGGCTGAGCCTCTCTTCCTTTGCGTCCCGACAAAGGCCACCTCAGCCATGCAAAACCTCACCTGACAGGTCTGGCACATTGCATCTCAGGTGCAGGCCACTGGCTTGGGGAGTTGAGCAAGTCCTCCACCTTCAAACCTGCAACGTGGCCGAGGTGGTCATCCGTACCTGAGCCGAGCGCCCAACACTTGAACTGCTTGCTTTGGGTGCCTTGTTTGGCCAGGCCTGGCCCGATGTCCGCATCGTAGACGTCAACCTTGACGAACTGGCTTGGCGTGTACACGAAGAAATCCTCGCAGCCTCGAAATATGCATGAAATGTGCATGAAATATGGCGAACATGGCCCAGCATCCCGAGGTGTCAGCGAGGCCTGCATCGCCCCATCTGGGGTTCCGTGTCCGAGTCTTCTTCGGAGTCTGCCAGAGGCGCGAGCCCAAGTGCACCGACACCTGACAGGCTGTAGAAATGACCTAGCCCAAGTTTCGCAAAGCGTTGAGAAGCATCGAGCATATGAATCTAATTAGGCAGGGGGCATAGGGATCCGAAGTGCCCTTGAAGCCGAAATAGTTCCAGTCGGAGCCTCTCAAGTTTCGAGCCTCTCTCACACAGAGACGCACGATGCACTCGGGATGGGGGAACTGCAGCACTTCGAGGTCCACGTCGTCGTAAGAGTCCATCCAGTGAACAAAAACAAGGTTCGGAACCACAAGCAACTCGGAGATCTGGTCTGCTACCACCTGGCGCATCACGCGTGAAAGCACATCGAGCTGTAAGGCCCCGAGGAGACCGCGAAAGCCCCAGTTCAAGGTCGGCGGAGACATCATGGTGATCTGCAGACCTCCCATCGTTGGAAAATGGTTTAGCAAAGGTCGCAACTGCAGCCGGACGGTCCCATCAATGCGAATCTTTTCCAAACCAATCTCAATACCTTGGACCTCCAGCACAACCTCGGCGTTGCAATTCCACACCATCTTCACATCAAGCTCGAGGCCATCGTATTGGTTCTGCTTCCCATGAGCGACCCCAACTGGACCCAGCAGGGGATGCTGATCTCCGAAGTCCAACTTCTTGAAATAGATCCCACTCAGCACTGCAGGCACGGCAGCTTGAAGCTTGGGTTGGAGCTCTTCTTTGATAATAGCAGTACACGCCTTGCTGAGCTTTGGCCAAAGCTTTTTCACCATAAAGTTCAACCAACCCAGCTCAACCCCCTGTGGTCCACGTTTGGCCTTGGTTCGTTCCAGAATGAAGCGCCGCGACTCGTTCAGTAAGGCGGACTCCGCGTTGTCTTCTTTTTTTGAACTCCTCCTCTTAGTTGGTGCATCATGCCGGTTGCAACCGCACTGGCCCATGGCTAAACTGCCACAGCCGCCGCATCTGCTTGACAGCAAAAGAACCTCGGATCCTTCATCTCAGCAGCTGGAAGAAGCCGCAGACGAAAGGATGATGTGCCGCCTACGATTAGGTGTTTACCTGTATGTGTGACGTGCACAAAGCTTTCAAAAGACATGGCTTTCGGAGTTAATTGCTAGAAGCATTTGCGGTATCTCTGGCGGTATTTCTTAGACATATGGCTGGCAACATGCAATATCATCACAACTCCGCTTCCTTCGAAAAAAGAGCCACAAGCAACGCGTGTTCGTCTGCAAATGTTCCAAATCTGCATAGCTGCAAGAATCACACCATATGGGAAACATGTCAACCTCAACGAAGGTCCTGTCGACTGCCATTGCCAAAACAACGAAGATCTTCACACTTTGGTACGGGAAGTACACCGTGCATGCAATAACTAACAGTTAGCTAACAGTGTTGTTGGGTCGAATTGCAAAAGCTTGCCTGTGTGACCACTATCAGCATGACACAAGTTGTGTGAATCAAGCCTGTTGCACAAACGCTGCCAACCTGCCTTGAGCCACCAAAAAGCCGACAAACAAAAGCCAGCATGCTGCACCTCAGGTGATGAAACACTCGTCATCCGCAAACTCGGTAAAGCTGAAAGGCGGCATCAGACAGCAGAGCATTTAAATGTTGTTGCCCTTTCAGTTTACACAACTGGTCGACAATCACAACTGTATATTCTCATCTTTCAAAACAGATTTTCCGCAGATGAAATGCGCCAGCCATTCTTCTTTCCTCGTGCACCATGCGGCTGGCATGCGGAAAGCATTGGCGTGCATGAGCTGTGTCCCACATCTAGTGGGTGTGGGGCTCGGTGTTGGAGACTATCATCCTCTGCTCAAACCAAAACTGATCACCTCTAAAAAACCCCTTGCCATGTTTGGTTTGACGAGAAGATTCCCCACTACTCCTGATCGCGTGATAGCCTCGGGGCCTACATTGCCTACTAGTTCCCCGAGCCCTCAACGATTATACATAAACCCTAATCGCCCTAAGCAGCACTACCTAAATCTCTAAACTCCATAAACCTTCATGGCCCGAAGCTGAAGTGCCGGAGCGCGAAACAAACCGTGCACGACCCAGCAGAAAATCCTTACACCCTAAAATCCTACAACCGAACCAACTTGTCCCGGAGCTCTGTTTTGCATCTCTCACCTCTGCCGCTGAAGCTCTTTCGCTCGCGGAGTCGGCATCTAGAAAGCACGGTGTAAGGCTGTGGGGGTATAAGTGTAGGAACGTTTCGGGCAAGCTTGACCCGGTGGGGGTTCCTAATTTCTTGTTGGGATGTTGTATCGTCCACCAAACTATATTGGGTATTGGGGTTTCGCAGTCAGGACTTAAGTTTTTGAGCTACCGAATCAGTCGGATAGCACTGCAATAGCGGTAAAAGTGTTCGTATTCGTTGCGGGTGTTTTTTCGTTGCGGGTGTGGGGCACGCTTCTTTTTTGCCGTGGGTGCGGGGCGTGCGGGGGCGCGTTCTTTCTTTTTGCTGCGAGTTCTATTTTGTTGCTGCGGGCGCAGGGGCGCTTTCTATTTTTTTGCTGGGGGTGTGCGGGGAGGGCGCGTGTTCTTTGCTGTTTGTGCCGGGGAAGGGGGGCGTTTTTTGTTGCTGCGGGTGCGGGTGCATTTTCTGCTTTGCTGCGGGCGGGGGCTGCGAGCAAGGAGGCGTGCCGCAGCGTGGAGGCACCTCTGCTGGCGAAAGTATGGTTTCAAGTTGGGCCCAAGAAGGCCCCTCCCTCCCGGGGCCCCCAAGAAACGGCGACATCATGGTTTCAAGTTGGGCCAAAGGAACCCGCTCCGTCGAAATCACGGTTTCCAGTTGAGCCGAAGAAGCTCCTGCGAAATCACGGTTTTCGGTTAGAAAAAGGGCCCCGGCGATTTTTTTGTTAGTCTTGGGGCGTTTTCCCTTATTCTCTGTCGGTGATGGTTTTTTTCGTATTCTGCTGGTTCTTTTTTCGGGCCTCAAGGCCCTCCATCCTAATCCGATGGTGTTTAATTTCATTCTACGGGTTCTTTCTCTTAGGCTGGGCAATGCCAAAGGCGGGGTTACAGGACCTGAACAGGAGTTTAGGGGTTTGGCAGATTGAGGTTTCCACGATCCACCCTGCAGAACAAGATAGCGTTGGCAATGCTAGGCAATTGGCTCAAGATGGAAGCGGCAGGAGTGGTAGTTGGCGGGGAATGGTAGTGGCGGGAAATGTGGGAATGGCGGAAATGGCGGTGCGGAAAAAATTGTGAGGAATGGCAGATGTCTAGGAGTCTAGCACCGGCGGTGAAGATGGCGGGCTTTTGGTGGGGCGTAGTGATGCGTGGTGGGCGGTGGGCAATGAGTAAGTTGTGGGACATCGAGTATTGGGGAAACGGCGGGAATTGCGGGCGATGAATGGTGCGCAATGGTGGGGATGAGGGCGGCAACATGGGCGGGGGGATGGGCTATGGTGCGAGTGAGGCACGGTGGGTGGAAATGGAATGCTGGGAATGGTGCGCGGGGGCGTGTTTTCGGGTAATAGATAGTAATAATGGGAATGGTGCGCCGGTGTGTGATAGTGGGTATTGTGGGGACGACGTCAATATGGTGGGAAATGGGGAGCGTGGCAGGTCATAGGGGGAATGCGATGGTTGGCACAGTGTGTTGGTCATCATGGGTAGAAGGGGTAAGGGGTGCGACTTGCAAGGAAAAACGGCGACGTATGGAATATGGCGGGGAAAGCAGGATGGTGACCTTCACAGAGAGTTCACGGACAAGCTTCAAAATGCGCGAGTGCGTTCCGCTAACCCCCGCCAATCCTATCCAGCCTGGAGTCTGAGTGAGTGAGAGAGTGAGTGTGAGTTGTAGCAGCGTGCAGGTGTGGGATTCAGGGCGACTTATTGTTCCAGGACCGTGCTTGAGCCCAAATGAACAGAATGTATAAATATTCAAATTCTCAAAAACTCAATCTGACTTCAAGATTCCGCTAGAGCAGCATGTACGTTCTCACACCTCTTTGTTCAAACGCTGGCGAAACAATCTCCAGATATCTCCTTCCGAGAGGGCTGCACCCCACATCGGTGTTCCAACGCTGGTCAAGCCCGAAAACATTCGAGCGGATTACTCGCCCTCTAGAAGAGAGCGTTGGCTAACCTGCTACCCTCTTTTTCGTTCGCCAACGATCCTTCGAGCTTGAAGAAGAAATGGTCAGTCACCTTGACTGCCAGCCCTGACTTATCCGCGAACCCCAGCTCCTTGACACGCTCGGTAGCAAATCTCGACGGTTCATCAGCGAGATTGGATTCGGCCCCGACCCGACCGAACCAAGGTACGAGCCCATGCTCTGTCTCAACGATCGCCAGATCTTTGACAATGGCTCCAGCCACGTCTTTCTTCGCAGTTCCTGCGACCAGCGCGTACCTCGCAGCATCACTGTCAATATAAGAGACCACACCGATCCCCGCGACGGTCTCTCCGTCTGACTCAATGTCAGTCATCAGAAACTCCTTGAAAACAAGGAAGCCGATCAACACGGCTAACATCTCCAATTCATAAATCACTGTCGCCTCATCCTTCTTTGCTAGAAGATTGCAGTCCTTATCTGAAACTGGCACGGAGAAGAATGAAATCGCAGAGCCCGTGCCTGTCAAAAGCACTCCACCTAGTCCTCCTTTGATTTCAGACCCCGGGTCGAAGAATGCGTCTGTCAGGATCATGAAGGACCTGCACGAAATCCTACCCACTACCCTGGGCTTTTCGGCCCGCAGTAGGTTTGCGAAGTCCAAAATGGCACAGCTTAGTTTTTCAGGAACTCCGATCGCACCTGAGAAGGCGTGAGATGTGATTAGCTTCAGACAATGCTTTCCCAGTCGCCCAAAACACTGAGATTCAGCAAATTGCAGGCGACCCCTCAGCTGCAACGCCTCCTTTTGCGTGAGGGTTCCTCTCTCTGTGGTGATAAGCTCCTCTCTCCTTCTCTCGGTGTTGTCAACCCTAATGAAACCGGACGTGGCACGCTCTAAATGAAAAGCGACCCCGAGGGCCTCAAATCTTTGTGCCCAATCGGTCGCCTTGTCATCCGAGAGCTTCCAGCCCAAGATCTTCATCAGGCGATTAAAAGACTCCCACGAAGAGGCGCAATCCTTTTCGACAGCAAGCAAAACGAAGTCATCGAAAAAGTTCGTGGACGCCACAATAGTCCCACGAACGATAAGCGTCCAAAGCGCCCTTGCCACTCTCAAGAAGTAGTACACCGCCTTGGTGCTTCCTAAAGGCACTGCGACTTGATGAAAGATCTTCGCTCTTTTCTCGACCGGACAGTAAACTGCCAGGTATGAGTACCTGAGGCTCTCTTCAGCCAATGCAAGCTGTCTATAAGCCCCTTTCAAGTCTGCAGTCTTTCCAAAGATCTTTCTGAACTTTCGCTTCTCGGCAAGTGCTCCCAATTGAGCTGCCATGGCAGCTGTCTCGTCCACCGAATGGACCACCGGTTTTTCGGACACCGTAACCCTGTCGTTGATGAGGCTGCTCGAGTAGTTGTCGATGGGTCGCACCTTGTCCGTTTGTCGAATGGGGAACCTGTTGTTGACAAAACAGCCTTGCGGGAGGTCCTCTGGCTCCAACGGACCGACAAGGTGGCCCTTCTCGACTTCCTCCAAGGTTTTCCGCCACAACTTAAGGTCGAGATCTCTATCTCCACACGAGGTGGCCCTAGCAAGAACTGGCTCATTGCATTGCTCCCTCAACGATTCTTGCTGGTTTCAATTTTGCATCAAGGACGTCAGTCACCGGGACTGGCCCCACCAGTGAACCACCCTGAATCATCTCATCAACCACAGCAACGTCATCATAGCCCAAGTCCTCCAGCATCTCTCTGAAGACCAGAAGGTTCTTTGGTGCTAGAATCTTCCTCCTCTCTTCATTCATGCCAGCTTTAAGACTGGCCTTGTCGTCGGCAAGATCCTTCACCCGGACTTCCCATCTCCACAGCCATCGTTCCCTACTTTGCTTGACAAATGCGGGTTTCTTGACCAGCAATTCCAATGTCTCCTCGGAAGGGCATTACTCAACTTGCAGGTTTTAAGCCGCTGCAGCTCCAGATGAGCAGCTCCGCCACGCGTGAGATGCCAAGTTCCGTAGTGGATGCACTGGTTTCAGAGGTGCAGCAGCTGCAAAGCTTGCAAGCTCAGCAGCTCAAGGTCAAAGGTGACGATGCCCCTGAAGCAGTGAAACCAGGCATCACAACACTGCCCAAACTTGTTGCCTCCAACCCGTCAGGTGGGTCGTTGGATTCAGAATTGACTTGAGTTGGTTGGTGAATTGATGATTCATCGCACTTTGGTGGACTCCCGAGTCCACTAAGGCACTAAGGCTGAGGAGTGGAAGGACATGATGCGTCGCCTTCAGCTTCAGCCTCATTGCGGTGCCGACGCATGGGCAAAGGCATCACGCGCTTCCTGCAACAGCGCGAAATCAACTCCAACGCCTTCGAATGCACAAGTTCTGGGCAACCATTGCGGACACGAAGCTTCAAATTCCTCCGAGTGAAGGAGTTTGCAGTCTTGGGCTTGTTGGCATCGTCAAAGCCGAGGCCAAAACACATGAGCAGCTCACGATGCGCAAAACCACTCCCAGGCTCAGAACAAGTCCCCACCATCCCCAACCTCGAAGAATTGCACGTGCGAACATTTCGAGGGAGCTCCCAGCGGCTTTTCCTCCCCAAACTAAGGACTGCAAGGCGTGTTGTTTGACGGTTGCGCCTCACTCGTGCCCGGGCTCACCTCCACCTGCCTCAAAGCCTTCACTGCCTCTTGCATAAAGAACTCTAGCGTAACAGGTTACTGAGGGCAAGTGGTCGCGTGTGAATGCCGAGCATGTGCCATGTTGTTGGATTCGTTGGACGCGTCCGTGAAGGCCGACATTGTAGCACGCGAGCCACAAATGCAGCACACATCATGTTTCGCCTACACACGATTTACCAGCCAGGTGGAACCAACGAGCGCGACCTGACACTCAGGAACTTGCATGATCCACCACCGTCCAAGGACGTGGTCGCTGGAGTGGTTTCTAACTGCCGGCAGACCACATAAGGGTGTAACCAAGTTGCTCCACAATTGCGCACAATGGTTTGCGCGGAGCCATCCCTCCCGGGAGGCAAGCAGAGTGCCACTGGCAGTGAGTGTCATAGACGTGGTGTTCTCCCCGCCAAACTCACTACCACTTGCGTAGCCTGCTCCCACTCCTCTGGAATGACGCTGCCCTCATGGCGTGAGAGGAAACTGGCGGAAATTGAGCAGCTCAAGCGCTACACCGAGGAAGGCAGGGACACGTTCTGTGCACACGCGTGCAGTGTTTTCCTACACAGTGCAGCGGCTCGCTCCATGGGACAGATCTGGAGCAGTTGCAGCACTCCCTGCGCTCACTGCACGCGCTGGCACCGCCTCTCGCGGTCTCTTGCACTGCTTCTGGCGCACGGGCGCAGCGGGCAGCTCAACGGAGTGCGTACGGAGACGCGCCAAGCTGGAGCGGCGGAGGCGGAAGGCTTGCTCGCCTGTCATGCAATGCGACCCACGCCACGCACACTCCACCTCAGCAGCCTCTGCCAACTCGGCAGCCACAGCTTGGCGCGCTCTCTGGAATGACACGCGGATGCACTCGCTATCAGCATGCTCCCACGAGGAACAGGCCTGATCGAGAAGGAGCTCCTTCATGACGTACCTGAGCTGGTGCTTGATCACAGTCGCTTGTTTAAGCTTTGCCCGATGATATCGCCAGGGCCTCACATTCTGGCTGCGACGCGGTTTTTCTAACCAATCCCCAAAGCACACACTTCAGTGGGATCCAACCCTCCCAGCAGTGATAGTGTAACTGGACTTTGGCGCCAGGACTTCGAACTAACTCGACGCGACTCAGCCGGTGGCAAGAGAGATGACATGGCCAGGCACACCTGGCTACGCACAGCCTGGGGCTTCAACTCCTCACCCGAGGTGACGCGAAAACCCACACACTGCTGCAACTCCGGCTTGTCTTGCCTTCTCAACGCCTCCAGGAACATGCCACCGAAGTCGCAATTAGTGATTGAAAATCTCTGGCAACTCCAAAGAAATCCTGCCCGTAAACGGCCTTGCTTGCCGCGCACACACTCGAACAGCATGGTACACTGGTCCAACTGGATGAGTCTGCTACGTTGCACATGCATGAAACGCACGCAGCCAGTTGCTTGACACCACGTAGCAAATAACCCTGGCCAGTCCGGATGGCTGTTGCGGTGGGCAATTGCAATCTGCTGTTCCAACAAGAGCAGCATAGCCGGCTGTGCAACTGGGGCCTGCTTTTTTTTTTTTGGACTGACGCCTCTTTACTACATCAGTAGCGCAGTAGGCCGGTCTTGTTGGGCTCGACATAACAGGTGAAACGAAATGAGAGCCAAACTGTACAAGCCAGCGAGCGAAAAAGAAGTCGTGACTACAAAGAAGCAACCGCTAGCGCAGAGGCCCTTATTGCAAGACAACTTATCGCAAGGCCAGCGAGGTGAGACCAATGCAAACATGAACCTACCGGCACCAATCACTCAGCTGCCCGTCACCCATAGCAATGCTGCGCCACGTCTGGTACAGACATTAAGCGAAAGTATGGGTAGGCCGTAAGGCAAGGAACCTCCGTCACCTAAACTGCTCAACGCGTCCGTAGAGACAGTCCCCACACAAGCGCCAGGGCCGTAGCAATAGCACTCAGGACTCTTTTTTGGGTTGGCAAGGAAGTTGCAAGCACACTGAAAACAGGCACAATGCACACAGAGCGCCAGAAGAGGCGCCCCCTCCCCCCCCGGCGAGCGGGGGCTGGCAAGGGGCTGGTGTGGCTACACGAGGCTGCCGTCGGCGCTGTGTGAGTCCGGGCGTCCTCACATAGCTATTAGGGGAGAGTACCCTATTTGGAGGCTCCTTGTGTTTGCGCCGAAAGTTTTGAGGCTCGACCTCATGGCCATAGGGCGGGCCTGAAGCGCTGCTTGCAAGAGGCCATATTCTTACAGCCCCGCGCAGCGGCCGATTTTTGAGACGGCACAAGAGCCCCAAAGGCTGCTGGCTGGCACTTGGCTCATGTGCTTCCCAGGTACCGGGAGCCTATCGGCGTGGCATGCTTAGCCTGGTGCAGTTTAAGGCCCCCAAGGCTGCTTAACGGTCTGCAGCCAACCGCGCGTCAAGTGTGAGAGTCAAGGGGCCTTGTAACTCGGAGCCCCGCGCAGCGGCCGATTTTTGTGGAGAGCACTTCAAGCAGGTTTACCCCGTGACTACACCTGATGCGGGACCCACAGCAAAGTGCAGGCCTAGTCACTTCTGGGCTTGCTGGAGAAGGTTGAAGCAGCAGTTCTTCACATCTCTTCTGGGCCTGCTGGCGAAGGCTCCGGCAGCCGTTTGCGGGGCCTAATCACTTCTGGGCCTTCTGGAGAAGTTTGAGGCAGCAGTTTGAGAGGTCTACTCACTGCTGGGCCTTCCGGAGAAGTTTTAGGCAGCCGTTTGAGAGGCCTAATCACTGCTGAGCCTTCCAGGGAAGGTTGAGGCAGCAGTTTGAAAAGCCTAATCACTTCTGGGCCTTCAGGCAACTGTTGGGACAGCAGTTTGAGAGGCCTAATCATTTCTGGGCCTTCAGAAGATGTTTGAGGCATCAGTTTGAGAGGTCTACTCACTGCTGGGCCTTCAGGAAAATTTTTTGGCAGCAGTTGGAGAGGCCGACCCACTGCTGGGCCTTTCGGAGAAGTTTCAGGCAGCAGTTTGAGAGGCCTAATCACTTCTGAGCCTTCCGGGAGGGTTTAGGCAACAATTTGATAGGCCAAAGCACTTCTGGGCCTTCCGGAGGCGCCTAATCATTCTGGGCCTTCTGGAGAAGACCTAGGCATCAGTTTGAGAAGCTTACTCCCTTATCGCAGAAGCCGCAACGGTAACGAGCAAGGTGTGTCCATCGTGCTGCGCAAGATAGACCAACGCATGTCCGTTGTATCCGGCACTCTAAGGGGGTGGCGCTGTCCATGAGCCATGGCGTTTGTTAACAGGGCCGCGCCGGATTACAGGCCGATTACAGCGATGACGCGCTTGTGGCAAGGAGTGCCCCCGCCAGGCACCCCTCCAGCATGAACAGGCTTGTTCCTGCCGGTTGTTCCAGGCACTTTTCCAGCAGAAAGCGGACGATGCCTCCGCCCTATGCTGCGACTAGCACTGTCACAAGGGTGAGGGGCAGACCAGAAACCTAAGCAGCAAACCAAACCCTAAATGCAGACTCCTGCACACCCGCCGGCTGCCACCACGCACAGAGCTGCACACAGACGAGCCCGCCAGGCTGATCAGCAAGACGCCTTCGCGGAGCCCCGCAGCGCTAGGTGCATAATAGGCAAGTGGATGTAAGGGAGCATTTTGAGGAAAGGGAATGCTACTACAGTTTAACACTACACCCAGCACGCTTGCACCGACTGGCCAGACCGTTCGGTTGTTAATCGCCTTTGATTTGGGGAGCGGCCAGCAGACCTCAACAGTGCGATCCTGAGCCCTCCTACACCCAAAACGCAGGACAACGTGTAGAGTTGCGTCTCACACAGCCGCATGAATTGCGACTCACACAGACGCATGAGGTTTGCGCAGCATGTGCAAAACGACAGTATTAAGGCTGCACCCCAACCCGCCTGGCACGCTAGGGGAAAGTGCCCGACAGGACCCGGGCATGGACCTGGGCACCTCGAGCCTGTGCACCTTGAGCCTGTGCATGTGCGGGCACCTGCAAACACGCCTGACCAGGAAGGGCCTGCGCAGCTTGAACCTGTACATTTGCGGACACTTGCGAGCACGCCTGACCCGGAAGGGCCTGAGTGTGTTGGCACCTGCGAGCACGCCTGACCCGGAAGGGCCTGTGCCCCTTGAGCCTGTGCCTTTGCTGGCACCTGTAAGCACGCCTCACCCGGAAGGGCCTATGCACCTTGAGCCTGCGCATGTGCGGGCACCTGCAAGCACGCCTGACCCGGAAGGGCCTGTGCACCTTGAGCCTGTGCATTTGCAGGCACCTGCAAGCACGCCTGACCCGGAGGGCCTGTGCACCTTGAGCCTGTGTGGGCACCTGCAAGCACGCCTGACCCGGAAGGGTCAGTGCACCTTGAGCCTGTGCTTTTGCTGGCACCTGCAAGCCCGCCTGACCCGGAGGGGCCTGTGCACCTTGAGCCTGTGCATGTGCAGGCACCTACAGCCACGCCTGCCCCGGGCGGGCCTGTGCACCTCGAGCCTGTGCATGTGCGGGCACCTGGTGGCAAGGCTCGTGCTAGCTAGGGGGCGTGGCAATTGCACTAGCGCACTCCACTGTTGCAAAGAGTTGATACGCTGCACGGGTGGGAGAGGCAGGCTTGCTGCTGGGTGTAGGGCAGTTATTCGCATCAACAGGCAAAGGGCTGGTGTAAGCCACACAGTGAGCAGCACAGCCCTCACGCATGCAGTGGCTGGTATAGCCACACAGCAAGCAGCACAGCCACCGCACGCGAACTGGATGCATCAAAGGCCTAACCTTTGCTGCGTTCTCGCTCTCACTAGCAGACAAAGGCCAGCGCAATGCGCAAAGCATTCCTTGGCGTTCTCGCTCTTACTAACCAAGGGAAGCGCGCAAACAAACAAACACCCACCTTCCCCGTCCACGACGGCAAATCAACAGCAGTCTGCGCATGTGCGGGTACCTGGCGGCAAGGCTCGTACTAGCTAGGGGGCGTGGCACTTGTACTAAGCGCACTCCACTGCTGCAAAGAGTTGATACGCTGCACGGGTGGGAGAGGCAGGCTTGCTGCTGGATGTAGGGCAGTTATTCAAAGGCCTAACCTTTGCTGCGTTCTCGCTCTTACTAGCAGACAAAGGCCAGCGCAATGCGCAAAGCACTTCCTTGGCGTTCTCGCTCTTACTAACCAAGGGAAGCGCACAAACAAACATCACCCACCTTCCCCGTCCACAACAGCAAAATCAACACAAGCAACATTTAGTGCCCTCGGCCGGGTGGGCCTGACGAGTGCAGTTTGGGCCAGTCGAGAATGATGCACGGTGTTCAAAAGATAAACATTGATCTCAAACTGCGGCAAAAACATGCTCCTATCTTCACATGCACCGCAAAGTTAAAAGGTTTGGTAAAACTAATTCGCACTTGCAACATAGTGCAGATACCTTACGCCGAAGCTATCCGTACTGCACAATGTACAAGTAAAAAGTAAGAGAAAGAGAACGGGCGTTCTCAATCTCAGCAAGTTGCAAGAAAGAGAAGCGTTGGAGAAAGAGAACGGGCGTTCTCAGTCTCACTAGTAAAGCAAGAAAGAGAAACAAAGAGAAAGAGAACGGGCGTTCTCAGTCTCGACTAGTCAGAGAAAGGTGGCAGGACAACTGAGGGCTCAGTTGACGCAACTTTCGAGCGCTCAACCCACAAAGACTCAAGGGAGAGCCAATGCAGCTTGCAAAGTGTTTACAGTGCGAAATCCAAAGCCAAGCTTTGGATTCTTCTTGCAAGCGGGCGCTCACAAGGAACTGCGCAATGCTAAGAAGCCCCAGCTACAAAGCAAACACAGCACCAAGCACACCTACGCCTCCAGGCTGTCCCAGAGGGGGCCGCTACCTATGTGTAGGGTTCCAAGCAAAGCCAGACCTTTAGCTACGGACTCCCACCCCTTCTACGGCGTCCCTGGTGGCTTAACCACCTTGAGCAAAGCGGCCTTGAGCCAAAAGGGCTTGAGCCAAAGGGGGTTACGGGGCAACTGGGGCCTGCTCAGCACCATGCCCCAAAGCTCCGGCCTTTGGCAGTTCGAAACGTGAGAGCTAGACCAAGATCTATAGCTAGGTGCAAACGCTTGCGCATGAAGCACAAAGCAGGCAACACGCGGCTGGCTGCTGGACTATCCATGACAAACTGCGCCACTTGCACAGCGGATAGGTCCGCAACACACGCTGCCTGCTGCTCTGCGAGTGACCATGCGCGCGCCACCTTGCGCAACGTCGCTTCTTCTGCTGACAACAGTACTGGAACAATAGCATTCAGGATGCCTTGGCTGACTTCAGCACCTTGCAACTGCTTGGCGAACTTGCTGTCCTTTTGCAAAACCTACACCAGCAAACGGGCCTTGGCGTTGCTCTCTGAAAGAGGAGCAGCTGAGCTCTTTTGTGTTGCGCTTGCAGCACCAGGCACCCTGCTGGCCTGTCTTGCAGCCACGGGGCTGTTGCCGTTCGTAGAGGTTCCGCGCCTTCGCTCCCAGGCCTTGCCGGCACCGAGCAGCTGCAAGCATCGGCCACAAGCAGCAGTCCTGCCTCTTTGCTCTGCCTCCTGCGTGCTGTTGAGTAAAACGCCAACTCGCTCCAATCTCCAGCCAGCATCCCACATGAACGCATCCATGAAAGCTTCGCCCAGCTGCAGCTGCAAGAAGGCAAGAACAAGCACGACAAGTGCACAAACAACACTCTGGGACATCTCAACAACAGGGATCAACTCTTGACGGGGCCATTTGGCTTGCGCAAGAACTGATGTTCCCCGTCGTGCGTTGCGAGGTTTGATTCACCCCCCCTCCAAGGTCCTTGCAGTCTTGACTTTCCTAACATCTGGTAGGGTTTCACGGTTTTGGGGTTTAAGATTTCGGGTTTGAAACATACGCCGGCATTGAGCCTGCGGAGTACGGGGCGTTACTGGCTATGTTCAGACGTCCGCCTGGACCACAGCAGAATGCCCTTTTCACCTGGGCCAGGCCAATCATTGTGCATAGCCAGGAAGATTTTCCAATTTACCTCATAAAAGCACATTTGGAGCAGCATCTTTTGCTTGCATGGCGTTTCACTGCCGACAAAGTCAATTTGCTTTTGCAGGCGATGTCCGATGCTGTCCCCAATGATAATGCCGTCATTCTGGAGTGGAAAGTGTGCTTCCTGATGAACGTATTGCTACCGACATTCTCGAGCATTTAGACGAGACCATGCATCTGCTTGAGGACAATCGGCATTCGGATAGCGACATCCAATGCTGACCTTGTGCGAATACGGAACAAACGGCGGCCTAGTACATCTGTCGTTATCCATGGTCATGCGGCATCCCTGTAATGTCATGCTGTTGTCTTGACCGATTTGGACAGTTGTAGCCATTGATCATGTTTTACTGCTGATGTAGTCTCTAACTGAAGGGAGCTGAGTCAGGGGGAGTTGGGAGCAAGCTTGTTGTTGTGTGACATTCTTTGCGCTGGACGGCACGGCTCTCACCAGTCTTCCTCTACCTTGCCCCATCAATTGGGTGGGCTGCCCCTTCTTCGCCATGGCATTGCCCCTTTGGCCTGGACACCCTGCAGCCTCCTCCATTGGTCGCCCCAGGGAAAGCCAACTCAATAGTGCTTCTCCTCCCTAGTTGTAGACACTTCTATGTGGAGAATATGCACCCACTGCCTTGGCAGGGGGCCATAGAGTTCCTGTGGAGCAACTTGGCCTTCAAGAAGGCCGTCATTGCCTGCGCATGGCCTGTGGCGGGACAAGTAGGATCACCGCCTGCCTGCATGTTGCCTGACGGTGCTGCCTAGACCGGAAAAACAGTGTACACAATGGAAGTTCTACCGCTCCTGTTTGGCCGTCCAACCTGATGCGAGCCCTCGCATCTCCTTGCCCACAAATCTCATGGGCCTCGGTTCTGGAGGAACATCACCTACCAAATTGCAATCTCCGAGGCCCATGCGACCTTCCGGGCTTGCGTTTGCATGGGCCCCATGAGGCTGCCTCCTTGCTGCCAGCCCCCACAAGCGAAGAGACAAGAATCTTAGTCTATGGCGGACGAAAGGATGTAGAGACCTTTCAACATCACCTTCGGATGCGCTACTCGGCACGGGGCAACCATCGCGTGCCTCCTGTCACAGAAGCCCTTACCGAAGACTCGCACTTTACTGCCTTCAAGGGCGACGGACGCACGCAGTACCTTGGGCCTCCGGCCTCACCATCCGCCAGGTAGTTATCAGCAAGGACCCGGAGCATGTGGTGTGGCCTGCATTGCTGAGCGACATATCGAGCTCCCGGAGTGTCGTTGGGACAGGGTAGAGTGCCTCCCTTTTTCCATTTTAATCGATTTATGCGCGCCAGGCCTTGTGTTGTCGCCAGACAGACCAGCAACCGAGGTATGCCGTGCTACTACTGTGCACGGACAAAGTAAAGGATGTCATTGTCTCCAGGTCATTGCTGTGTACATGCAGCACATTGCAGCCACAAGGAAGCCACCTGTGACGACACGCTGCATTCCTTTTCAGGTTGCGCGTTGGATGTGCCTTGCTCAAGCTCAGGGTGGCTGGCTGACTGAACGAGGTGCCCTTGTGTTAGGGTTGTTTCGCTCCTGACTGGCTTTTTTCTGTTGTTTCTTTGTTTGTTTCTCGCCTCTGTTTCTTCTCTCCTGTGTGTTCTGCTTGGGGTTTGGTCCTCCCCTTCTCTTGGTGTCCTCCTTTGTTGGTGTTTGGGCTTCCTGGGATCTTAGTGTCTGAAGGTCCTCGTGGTTGTCCACTGTCTGTTCGGTAGTTACTTGAGTTTGCCCGTTATGTTCGATGAGTGATGCCATGGAGTCGTATGCCTGTCAACCGTACTTTGGGGGGCCAGACGTGCGTTGCCAGAAATTCATGGTTGCAGGCACCCCCAATTCTGGTCCCCAAACTTGCTCCATTTCGCACTTTTGGAAACTGCATTGAGAGAACCAACACACACAACACAGAGACACACGATACAGGACAACCGACGACCGCAAGAACCGACGGACCCACAAAGAAACATGCCAAGTCACCAACCGAGTTGAACGAAAGAAAAGCCAAAATGCCAAAAAAACCAATAATGGACCCAAGGCCAACTGAGAACCAAGACCGGTTCAACTTGAATGACAAGAAACAAACCAGGAAACCCAATTGACCAGAAGCTGAGGGACCACCACAACTTACAACAAGGGAAAAGGACAGACTGAGCTCCAAGCACAACAACTTTGGAATCTGTTGGAACAGATCCGACCAGCAACATCTAAGGAACATGAACACAAACAAGCAAAATACAAAAAAAACAACCACAATCAACAGACCCAGAACTCAAGACCGGACACTTGGAAGACCAAGAGGCCAACCGAGATTGACCAGACTGAAGAGAGAAAGATCCAAGCGACTTAAGGCAGCCTCTTCACTCCATCAGCAGCTGAATAGAACAAGGCAAGACTTAGAGTAAGGATAAAAATCAGCACCAAGACCACCGAAAAAGACACAGAACCAACAGGACCGATCCAGCGACTCTAGAGACTCAAAGACTCCAAAAACAAATTTTTGAACCAAAAGAGTCTTAAGGACCACTTTAATAACCTGACTTTGAACCAAGAAAACACCAAGGGGTGTCTTGCACCATTTCAAGTCCAGATCGAGCCCAAAGATGTCTCAACACTACTTGGGCAGAAAAACAAAAAACCCAAAACCGGGTGTCTTAAGACCACTTTGATACTTTGAACCATGGAGTGCTTGGACTTGCAGAGAGATCCAAGAAATTCTGCAGATGTTTTTTGAGCTTGCCAGAAAGTTGCAATAGTTGGTCTCCAAAAGTCACCTTGAAATTATTTATCAAAAAAAGTAAGTTGAAAAAAAAAACAGCACAAGCAAAACCTGACAATCAACAAAAGTAAGACAATCCAAATGTAAAACCATCAAAAACAAGCTCTGACAACAAAACACATGTCAGATGTACTCCGTTGTTTCGCTCGCTTCGCTCGCACTTATTCACATTGTGGAAAGACACTTTGCCTTTTCAAAACGGTTCGGTTTGGGCGTCGCGCGCAACATGGACGTCTCAGCAGTACAGTTGAACTCGTCTCGTCCTGCAGTTGATTTCTGTCCAAACGGCACTGTCAGAGGCTTTCAAAAACGCTTGTTTCAAGCAATTTCAAATCGCGGACTTGGGAGGTCAAGAGGAGCTTTTCACGGAGAAGACGCGCTTCCTGACCATTGTTCAAAGCACTTCTAAACGATGGAGTGTTGGAAGATTTGCCGGATTCCTTGGCCATTGTTTCAAGCTGCTTTTTTCATCATCTTCAAAGATGTTTGAAAGCCACTGGAACGCACCTCTTTTTGCTTTTCAGCAACCGAATCTGAGCATCGAGGTCGTGCCAGGAAAGGGGGCCTGGGGGTCCTAGTTTAGGGGGTCCATTTGGCCCGCAAAATTAACTACACCCCTCCAGCCCCCCACAGTTGCAGCCGCAACCAGCAGCAACAAGGACAACAATTCACGGGCTGCGAACACACAGACCACCTCCACAAGAGATTCTACTTCAGCTCAACACGACAGCTGTCGTTGCAGGCGTGCTGTCTGTGGACAAAAATGGAGCAGCAATTCCCTAAAATTGGGGGGCCCGAAAACAGGGCCCAAAAAAGCTTCCAAAATTGGACCTCTTGTTGGCAGAAAGAGAGGAGGTCTTTTCATTGTTTTACATGCTTGGGTCCCAAATTATGACCCCAAAATGGGCCCAAAATTGGGACCCAAAAATGGGTTCAAAACTGCTCCTGCAACCACAGCTGCAAATTCCATGGCGCTAAAGCCACCACAAAAGCACAAGACACACATTTGCAGGACAGAAGAATTTTTGCAGATCTCAAGTTAAAAACCCACTTTGGGGGGCCAGACGTGCGTTGCCAGAAATTCATGGTTGCAGGCACCCCCAATTCTGGTCCCCAAACTTGCTCCATTTCGCACTTTTGGAAACTGCATTGAGAGAACCAACACACACAACACAGAGACACACGATACAGGACAACCGACGACCGCAAGAACCGACGGACCCACAAAGAAACATGCCAAGTCACCAACCGAGTTGAACTAAAGAAAAGCCAAAATGCCAAAAAAACCAATAATGGACCCAAGGCCAACTGAGAACCAAGACCGGTTCAACTTGAATGACAAGAAACAAACCAGGAAACCCAATTGACCAGAAGCTGAGGGACCACCACAACTTACAACAAGGGAAAAGGACAGACTGAGCTCCAAGCACAACAACTTTGGAATCCGTTGGAACAGATCCGACCAGCAACATCTAAGGAACATGAACACAAACAAGCAAAACACAAAAAAAACAACCACAATCAACAGACCCAGAACTCAAGACCGGACACTTGGAAGACCAAGAGGCCAACCGAGATTGAAGACTGAAGAGAGAAAGATCCAAGCGACTTAAGGCAGCCTCTTCACTCCATCAGCAGCTGAATAGAACAAGGCAAGACTTAGAATAAGGATAAAAATCAGCACCAAGACCACCGAAAAAGACACAGAACCAACAGGACCGATCCAGCGACTCTAGAGACTCAAAGACTCCAAAAACAAATTTTTGAACCAAAAGAGTCTTAAGGACCACTTTAATAACCTGACTTTGAACCAAGAAAACACCAAGGGGTGTCTTGCACCATTTCAAGTCAGATCGAGCCCAAAGATGTCTCAACACTA